AACAGACACAGCCTGTGTCACCCAGAGCTGCTCCAGCACCACACACCTCCCAGGCACAGCACCAGCTGCCTCTTGCATGCAGTGCTTGCATCCTGAGGCACAGGAAGCAGGGCTGGGAGGGCACACAGCCATCCCCAAACCCCTCCTAAAGCAAGCTGGCACAATTACAAGGTGAGTTTGGGGACACCTGCAAGCATCACTGCCTGCCCATGCCTGGGTGCCTCCCTTTGCAGCCCCTCTGATGCTGCAGGGGACATGGCAGCTGTGTGAGAACATGCAGCACCCTCGAACAAGACAAGAACTGAAGAAAAAACAACATCTATTTTAGCTGAAACCACGAGAAAAATCGAGATAGCCAAAAAGAATGAGCAATTTGATCAGGAAACACGAGCGAGCCATCCAGCTCCATGGAAAATACAGAGGGTCTGTCAGTAACCACACAAGGTCAGGATCTGGGGATTATATCTTGTCTGAAAGATAAAACTTTCATGATATTTTTAAAATAAGTTTATGTTTGATTATGTTTGATACTCAATAAAAAAAGTTAAGTCCCAGAGGATCACAATATTGAATATGTGATGATTTCTGACACTGTTTTCCAGATAACAATAGAAAACCTCATCTGGCTGAAGTTTCCAAGCTTTGTTTTACAAAAGTCTTATTCTTTGAGTTATCTGAATGTTTAACTTAGTGGGACAATTATGAATTGTTCTTGTCTGGACTGCAGGAAAAAGAAATCTTACAGAAGTATTGCCCAGGGTTTGATCTTTCTCTGTTGTCCCTCCACAACAGCTGATGCAAGGCTGTGCTGTGCTAATGAGAAGCCCCTCAGTCTGAAGGATGAGCTCTCACTATAGTTTTGGCTAAGCCAAGCTTTTCTTGGTTGTGATAGTCCATTTGCTCCTCATGTCATCACTCAGCTCCTTCCTCTTGGCAATGTCAGACTTTGAGAGAAGAACCAGCCCCAAGCCCCATTTATCAGTGCTTCTTTTTAGTGAAACCTACCTAAAAACGCCTGGGAAATGGTGAAGGATCCAGTGCTCCCACCACCAGCCAGTTCCTGTCTGTCCCTTGGCAGGGGCAGTGCCCTGCTGGCCTTGCCACCGTGGCTGGGAGCTTGGAGGGCTCAGCTGTCCCAGATGTAGCCAAGGCTCCTGATGCAGTTGCCTGACCATCAGAACCTGGACTGCAGCCCTGAATTCTTTTCTCACAAGTCACTTGGCCAGGCACCAGCTGGTAAATACTTTCAGTCCCTGCATCCCGGGCCCGGGGTGGAAGCAGTGACCTCAAGGTAAAAGACTGCCTGGCCCATCCCTGGTCCTCTCAGCCTGGCTCTGCTGTGCAGTTAAGGTGTGAGAACCAGAGGGAATAAAAATGCCCAGACAGGGGTGGAAATAGCCATCACCACCTCTCTCTCTGCTCTTGCTGTTTGAAACTGGAGCCAGATTCATCCTGGGTAGGAAACAATTCTCCCATCTTGCCAAAAGCAGAGATATTTCAAAATTTCCCAAAGCCATGGTGTTTTCCAGAAGTCTCATGAAAAACATCCAGCAGCCACCCCGAAGTGTCCAACAGCTGAAGGAGACCTGAGGCATCTCCATTTCAGCTCAGGGCTCTTGGTTTTTCCAAGCTGGATGTCTGTCCAGCTTTCCCCTCCACGGGCAGCCCTGCTCCTCTGCAGAGGGGATTTGGGCCAGGAGTGCCCAGGAGCAAAGGGAATGCTCTCCCCACTAAGCCATGGAGCTGGGCTCACCCACATTTTCACAGCCAGGACCCAGGGCAGCCTCACTGCTCCCTGCCACAGATGGACATGCAGACCCTGCTCTGGCTCCCCAGCTCCAGGGAGGGTGCTTGGCACATGACGTAGAGGAAAGCAGGGGAGTCTCCAGCTAAGGAATGGCATGAAGGGAGAATGTGCTCAATATCCATCCCAGATGGATGCAATTTCAGCTGAGCAGGGTGTGCAAATGAGAGCTTTTCTGTGTTATTCACGATGGCACGTTAGAGCAGCAAACACGTGAAGAACTCAGCTCTCTAAAATGTAAATTCACTGGGGCAGTTCCTTCATTTCTATAGAAACAGCAAAGCTTGCCAGCGGCTAACTCAAAGGAGATGTAGTCAGATCCCTGTATCAACTATTTTCTTGCACAACCAACCACAAAAAAAAAAAATTAAAAAATTCTACCCCCCAAAAAACCTGACAATAATACCATGGAAACTGTGGAGTGACATATGGACTTAATTACTAGCTCTGAACTCACACGTATGGTACAGAACACTTACAGGTTACGTGCTCCAGAGGGGAAGGGCTATAACAGCATTTATAAAATGAGCTGCTGATGTGCTGTTCTGGTGCAGCTTTGCACATCAAAACATTTGCAGGGGCTGAATTCCTGTGCCAGGCGCTGCCTGCAGCCCCTGCACAGTGACCTGGGTGGGGACGTGGGACCCAGAGCTGGGAGAAGGGAAGCTAAAGCCCAAGTCACCCATGGAGAATCCTCTCTGGGAAGGCAGATCATGGGAGACTTCATGGGTACCCCTCCAGCCAGCTCCACTGGGCACCACCAAAACCCAGCCAGGTGCCAGTGAGGGTTGCCAATGCCATCAGAAGTGTGGGCAGCTTGCCAGGCACGGGATGCTGGGTTTGGCCCCATCTGACTGCTTGACTTGGGGGTGTTGGTTTGGCTCAGGCTTGGCTCAGGCTCTCTGTCATTGCCTGAGCCCTGACAGCTTCCAGGTGATATCAAACCATCGCAGTGATGTCACCTCACTACATCTAAATCTCAGTGCCATCAGGGGTGGGGGGAAGCAAGGTCCCCCCCTTGCTCAGAGCTGAGGAAAGAGTAGAGAAAGGAGCTGACCCTGTAGCCAGGACACATCAGGTGACAGGGGTTTAATGTCCAGCTGGCTCCCCTGGGCAGCCCTGAGCCTCAGCCTCCCCAGGGGTGCCCTGCTGCCCCCTGAGACCTCACACACAGCTCTGTCAGCTGCTCCAAGGGTGCCTCATTGGGGAAATGAGAGGTTTTTATTTCTGTTACCAGCACTGTCACTTGATTTCTAACTGGGGAATGAACTCAAGGCCATTCATCAGGAATCCCTAATAAACACAAGGTGGAATAATGAATTGGGCTGTCCCCATGTGGCAGGGCTGGGTCGGTACTTTGGCTCTCCCAAGCCACTCCCAGGATGTTTGGCTGAGCTGTAGCCAGCGGGTGGGCACCGGCTGTGGAGGAGAAAGTGGAACACGAGAGGTGTCTGCAGCCTCAGGTACCAAACCCTCGGGCTTGTGAGCACCTCTCAGTGGGTGCTGAGCCACCCCCTGCCAGTGAGCTCAGAGCAATGTGCCCTCCTCTTGCCTCCCCTGCCAGGGGCAGGGCTGCCAGAGCAGACCCCTGACCTCCAGGCTGGGCCTGGGTGGTGCTGGGGCTCCACCATGCAGAGCAGAGGCTGCAGCACTGCATAAGTGACAGCAGCCTTTGGAAAGTGTCCTGGTGCTCCCTCGTTAACAGCCTGGCTGCAGCTAATGAAGCACAGCCACAGCTGAGATTTGGGGTGGTAATGTGGGAGCTCAGCCTGCCCTCCTCCCTGCTGGCCTGTGCCCACCCTGCTCTGTGCCCTGGCTTCCAGGCTCTGGAAAGCGTGGAGCTGAGCTCAGGATTGCTGCTCAGGTAACTGAGAACCTGTTTCACAAAAGCAAAACAGAGGGGAAAAGGCCAGAGGGAGAGATGGGGCAGCACCCTTAGCTGTGTGGTTCTGGTGTCTGCTTGCAGCAGCCAGCAGCTCCTGTGTGTTGTCCATCACACACCTGACATCTGGCAGCAGTTCTCATGCCTGGGTGCTGCAGGCAATCTGTGCACAGCCACCAGGACCATCCCTTGGACAGCACAGCAGCAGCCCTGGCCCCAGAACACGTCCTGCAGGAAGGGACAGTCTGTGCACAGCCACCAGGACCATCCCTTGGACAGCACAGCAGCAGCAGCCCTGAACACGTCCTGCAGGAAGGGGCAGGGGTGCAGGAGAGGAGCCAGGAGAGCTGCAGGACATCCTGCATCCTTCTGCTCAGGCCTCTCCTCTGAGCTCTGGGCTCACAAATTGTCCTCTCAAATTTTGTGATAAGATCTGGGGAATGGGAATATAGGGAAGTGGCTCTGTCTAGTGCAGGTCTTGAGGAGTTTGGGTTTGTCTTTTCTAAGAGCCAACCTCAGACCCTCAGTCACAGGGGACAAGAGAAAAGCTTGCACAGGGCAGACTGAGGAAGCATTGGGAGGCAATGGCTGAGCACCTGCTTTTCATGCCCAAACTTGGATTTTTAATTCTCACAATTGATTAAGATGATCATAATACTTCAGGGGCTGAATTTGTGTTTTCAGGGCTTGAAATCAGCGGGGTCAGAGTGCAGCCCTCTCTGCATCAGCTACCCAAGATAATGCAACATGATGTGCATCCAACCACCCCACAGCCTCCCCAGTCCCTCTCAGGATGGGGATGATGTGGCAGCAGCACCACCACAGCAAATCCATTTCCAGCTCCTTTGGGTGACCCCTCTTGCACAGCCTGCCCTGCACTGGGTGCAGCATTAAATAGAGGGGGGGATGCCCTGTTGCTGCCTGGTCACAGCATTGTCCCACAGCAGCAGCAGGGACACTCCTGCCAATCCCTTCAAATCCCAGGAGGAAGGTACCAGCTCTGCCTGGGCAGACTTTGATCACAGGATAGGGCATGAAGCTTCCCTCCCAGGCTAGGGGAAGAGAGCTGGATCACCTCACAGCCTTGTTCCCCAGCCTCTCTGCCCTGCTCCCCAGGGACAGCACAGCATCCCTTCCCTTCACTCCTTGTCCTGGTGGACGGCACATTCTCACCTTGAGAAGAGTGGAAATGGCAGCTGGAATGTGGGCTGGAAAAAAAAAAAGAAAGGAAAAAAAAAGAAAATCTTGAGGCTTGTCCAAACTTACTCATGTTTATATTGGAGCCTGTGAGTGACATCAGAGCAGGGAGAGTATAAACACCAGCAGGACCTGCTCTGGGCTTTAAAACCTGCGAACACTGCCTCCAAACTGCCTGGGGGGTGATGTGCTGAAGTGGCACAGGGCAGAGCAGCATGAGGCTCCAGCTGGAGAAGCAGCTCCTCTTCCTCTCCCTGCTCTGCATCCTCTCCAAGGTAAGGCAGACGGGGCACTGGGGCAGCTTCAGCCGTGCAGCAGCCGGTTCTGGCAAAGCGGGGAGCAGGAGGGACTGGCGTGTCACCACGAGCCTGGTGTGATGCAGGGGCAGAGCTGTGCTCGGAGAGGTGTTGGGGATGAAGGAGCAGGGTCCGAGGAGCGCGCAGCAATGCCCGCAATGCCAGCAATGCCAGCAATGCCCGCAATGCCCGCAATGCCAGCAATGCCCGCAATGCCAGCAATGCCCGCAATGCCAGCAATGCCAGCAATGCCAGGAATGCCCGCAATGCCCGCAATGCCAGCAATGCCAGCAATGCGCTGCGCGCTCCCGGCGCTGCGCGCTCCGCGCCGGGCTGCGCTCGGGCCCCGCCGGCCAGCGACCACAGCTGGGCGGCAGCGGCTCCTCCAGGCTCCTCCGGGCTCCTCCAGGCTCCTCCGGGCTCCTCCGGGCTCCTCCGGGCTCCTCCATCCCCGCCCAGGCTCCCGAGGCAGGGGCCAAGCCACGAGCACCGGCCCTGGCGTTACTCAGCTCTCCCCACTCCTTGGAATGCTCATGCCAAGCCACTGCCTCCAGTGGGATTTGGGTTGTTGCAGAGGTTTTATTATTTTTTTTTTCTCTTGGACTCTGTGTGAAAATATTTGCCTGTGCAGAGAACAGGAATGTTGAAGAATTTGGGGCATCTCAGCTCCAAGTTCTAATTGCTGCTTGAATCCCCAAGCAGGGATGTCGTGGCCACGTTGTGCCTACTTGACTCTCTTCCCAGAGTTCAGATCTCTGACAGAAGCCACATTGTCATCTAAAGACAAGTAAATTACAAGGAGCAGGGAGAAATGGATTTATGGCTCAGCTAATCTTTCTAAAACATCGATTTGTAATAACAACCTCCTGAAAGATGAAAAATGCCCTTGGCTGCCTGGGTGAGCTGTAACAGAGTAATGATTCTTGCCCCAGGTGCTCATGAGTGCCTGGAGAATCACCAAGGACCATCGTGCTGCCAGCCCAAACCTGGCCACCACAGCCAGTCCCTCGGTCCTGCCACATTAATAACGCTGCTCACTGGCAGAACTAGAGCAAGACCCAGATTACCCAATCCATTTTGGGTATATTTAACTCCAATTATTGGCACTGACACTCCCATAGCCCCATGAAAAGCATCTGAACTGCTGCAAACGGGGAGCAGATAGAGCACCAGGAGCTACCCTCTCTGTCTGACTCATGTCAGACCTGATACCACTGGGAGAAACTGAAAGAAAAAGAAAAATGGTATCTAAAACCTACATGGTCTGGCTGAGCCCAGTGCTCTCCTGGCAGACTCAGCAGTCACACGAGGACTGGACCAGGGCAGGGATGAAGGGTTTGGTTGCAGGTTTGCTGTGCTGCACACGCTGGCCCTGCATCCATCAGCGTGTGCCTGGTGCTGAGCAGCAGGGCTGCCGGGGGCTCACATCACTGTCAGGCCAGCACTGGCAAAGGATTCTCTTCCAAACTGCAGAGCCAGCTCTCGTGGCTCTGTATGCAACAGCTCTGTCACCTGTGACATGATGGGAGCTCAAGAGCTGCCTGAAAGAGCTGTTGGGGCAAGCAGGGTGACCCAAGGGTACAAAATCCTCCTGCCCAGGTGAACTCCTCTGGGCACCTCCCTGGCAGACAATTGGCTGAGCAGGCAAAGCACTGCAGTGCACAGCCCTGCCAAAGTGATTATTCAGTCTAGCCACGAGGGAAAAGAGCTCCCAGTCCTTGAAAACGTGCCTGTCTCTGGGCTCCTTGCCCAGTGGGCCAGGCCAGGTGAGGATGCTGCAGCCAGGGACAAGCAGAGGATGCAGCTGGACCAGTGAGGAATGCAGTGAGCTCTGCCTGGCCTCAGATCCCCACTGCTGATGCAATGTCGTGTTTCTTGGCATGAATGACAGCTCTTAAGACTGTAAGGAGTGAGGTGCTGTGCACTCACCACGTGAATTCTGTCCCTGCAAAGCCCCCTGCCCTGGGCTGGGCACAGCCTTGGGGGCAGGCATGGGATGGGCTGCTTTGCCTCCCTCCCTTCCTCTCTCCCACTGGGCTGTTTGGGGCTGCTGACCTCATTAAATAACCACCACTGCCTGGGATACTCACCTTGTAGCCCCATCCTGTGTGTTCAGAGTAGTGGCACATTAAAGTCCCTATCTTTCAGAGTTCTGAGCCTCTGAGCATCCTTGATTCTCCATGGTTTTCCATAGGTGCCCTTCAAAGGGGACAGTAGCTTTCCAGGATGATTGAGATATTCCCATGGATTTGGAGCCTCCTTCCACCAAAAATCTGCCCCCATGGTTGAGACAAAGTCACCTGGCTGTCCCAGTGACAAAGTCACCTGGCTGTCCCAGTGACAAAGCAGCTGCTAGCCAAAAACCACCTGCATGGATTCAGCTCTGCCTCCACAGGTTTGTGCCCAGCTGTGCCGGAGACCATGCTACTGCCCCTGGGTGCCACCCCGCTGCCCCCGCGGGTCCCCGCTGGTCCTGGATGGGTGTGGCTGCTGCAAGATCTGTGCCCGGCGCCTGGGAGAGCCCTGCGACTTCCTGCACGTCTGTGACCAGAGCCAGGGCCTCGTCTGTGACTACAGCTCAGCGTCTGCAGGGATGGGAGGCACCTGCAACTGTGAGCACAGGGGCTCCCACTTTCCCCGGGGATACCCCCACACTCCAGCCCAGCTCAGCCATGACCTCACATGGCTTCAGGCATCCCGCAGCACCACCAGGGGAGAGGTTGAGGCCAGGAGAGCAGCTTTCCTGAGGATGGTGCACAAGCTTGGCCATGGGGCTGTGCCCCATCTCCTGCCAGCTCTTGTGCTGCCTTCTGACTGAGAATTCAGGGTGGTTTCAGTGAGAATGGACAGGGGGTCCCAGGGGTGCTGCAGTCACCCAGCCAAGGCTGGAGCCTGGGGGTCCTGCAGAGAAATCTCAGAGAAAATTTTCCTAGCCTGGAAATCCTGAAGGCAGGGTCAGAGCCAAAGGGCAAGGGGGTTCTCACAGCTTGTGAGCTTTGAAAAAACAGAGAGCTGAGGAGAGAAGACAGGGAAGGGGAGGAGACTGAGTGATGAACATGCTGCTGCACACCCATGTCTGCCCTGCACACCACTCGGTCAATTCTGTGGTCCCCTCACCTCAATCCCTTTGTCCAGCCCCACAGTTACCCCCAGCACTGCCCCTGCCATCCCCATCTCTGTCCCTCTGTCCCTAACGGGCTGTCCCTTGCAGTTGAAGACGATGAGGAGGGCTGCGAGGTGAACGGCCGGGTCTACCGAGACGGGGAGGTTTTCCAGCCCAGCTGCAAAATCCAGTGCCATTGCTTGGACGGGGGCTTCACCTGCATCCCGCTGTGCCAGGAGGATGTGCGGCTGCCCACCCCGGACTGCCCCTTCCCCCGGCGCGTGGAGATGCCCGGGAAGTGCTGCCCGGAGTGGATCTGTGACGCCCAGGACCAGCACCTCCCCCGGGATGCCAGGGCAGGTAAGATGCGGAGCAGCTCCAGGGAGAGGGCTCACACAAGTCTGGGATGGCTGTGAAACATCAGCAGGAGACACCTCACACGTTTCTCTGCACGCAGGGCGATGCCTGCAGCACCACAGGGAGCACAGCACCTGCCTCCTGTGGTGTCGCATTTTAGTTAAATGGTGTGCACTGTCTGACCCCTCGAAAATGTACGGTTTATTCCAAGCTGTGATCCTCCCCTGAAGGATCATGTATTTGTAATCCCATTGGCCCAAATCTCATTCCGTGCCCGCTTTGAATGTCCCTCTTAAGCTGTGTGAGGAAGACAAGACTCTCTCTTGGTCTTTTTCTTCCTAGCTCTTCCCTCTCTCCCCTTCCCCCTCATTAACCATGCTGCTCCCGGGGGTGGGACCCCCAATAAACCCTCATCTAAGCAGCACCCTCAGAGCCGTGTGGAGTCTCCTTGTGTTCCTGCTGCTCCCGGTGAACTCACAGCCTAGAGGACTCCCCGGGGTGCCCCCCATATGAACCGCAACACCTCCAACCATCCTTTCCCCGTCCTTTCTTGCAGCCGCCGGGGCAGTGCCGCTGCGCCCGCCCTGCCCGCCGTGGGGCACGGAGTGGAGCCCCTGCTCGGCCACCTGCGGCCTGGGCTTCGCCAGCCGCGTGTCCAACCAGAACCGCCTGTGCCGCCTGGAGACCCAGAGGCGGCTGTGCGCGGCCAGACCCTGCCCGGCGGTGAGTGGGGCCGGGGCAGCCGCTGCCTCCGGGCGCACGGGGGGCTGAGAGGGGAAGTAAAGTGCCAGCAACACCTGCCTGTGGTGTTGCCATGAGCTGACCGTGTCTCAGGGACACACGAACCATCTGCCGAAACGTTGCTTGGCAAACAAAGTGCAGACCATCATTTTGGGGTGTCTGGATGTCTGAATCCAAGAGCACTGTGGATCCCACGCAGGTGAGCCCGGCCTGCCCCTATGGCCAGAGATGGATTTGCAGCTCCTGCCTGGCTCCCTGGGCACAGCCGGGAGGTGCTTCTGCCACCCCTTTACTAGCCTGGCACAGCCCCAGTGTGGACACAGTGCTCTTGGCACTTTCTGCCCACTTCTTTCCCCCTGCACTGCCATGCTACGTGCTCCCCAGCTGCGGGGGACACACCACCACCCCTCTCCATCTCCCCACTGATCTGCATTCTGCCTTTCCAGATGGGAAGAGGAGGTCGTTTGTAGCTGTGCCCACCCCGGATTCACCCTGGAGCCAACGCCTCATCCCGGCAAAGAGTCTGGCACAAACCCATGGCACTGTGGTTACGCTGAAGATGGAGGGTGTTTCCACTGGGACAGCAGAGAGGAAATGATGGACTTTGGCTGCAAAGGAGGCTGGAAGCAGAGAACAAGATCCTCGTGTCACCCATCACCTGCCTCCTCTGTACACCCCGCTGCCCCAGGCAGGGTTACTGGGCAGCATTCCGAGTTCCTTAGGCTGAATGAAATGGGAAATGGGGAAATCCTGCTCCAAGCATAAACCCACCCAAGAAACCAGGAATTGGTCCTTTTCTGGACCAGTGGGGCTTCTGAAGAGATGATGCTGCTTCTTTACTACATCATGCAGTTCTGCTTTGCAGGGACTTCAAGAGAGGGCATCTCCAGCACCTGGAAACCAAAATTCTTGGAGGAAACCCTCATGCCCTGGTTCCCCAGGGAGGGAGCAGCTCATCAAGCTGCACCCCACGAGTCACTGCCACGCCAGGCTGAGCTGCTCAACCATGCAGGAGCTCAGCCAGCCCATGGTACCCACCCTGCCTTCCCGGGCACGGGCAGGGTGCTCCTGATGGCAGCTCTAACTCACCTTCCCCTCGTCCCTCCAGAATAAACACGAGCCTTCCCGCTCTGCCGGGCCTCCTCCCCTCCAAAGCGCTGGTGGTTTGGCAGGGCTCCGGCAAGCGAGGAGCTCAGACAGCGGATCCTCCGCCCCGCAGCACCAGACATTCCCCGCCTGCCATCCAAGCACATTCCGGGGCCGAGGGAAAAGCAGGGAAAAGGGAAAACAAATCGCAAAGATGCGTCGGGGCCGTCTCCCGACGGGCTGGAGCTGCTCCAGCCGTGCAGGAGCCGGCGCAGGAGAGCTGCTCGGCTGCTCTGGCTGTGCTTTCTCCCAGTAAAAAGTCCTTGTGGGTGATGGAAAATGAAACCCAAATGCCCTCTAACGGCCTCGCACAAATGTGCAGAGGGAACGCGCGATCCGCCGCGGGAAGGGCAGTGGAAGGAGCAGCGGTTGGGGTGGCGTGTCCAGGTGAGAGATGGACTTCTTAGATGGGTATTTCTGGAACCAAAAATAAAGATGTGCTCATCCAGGTGTGGAGCTTGTCTGTGCAGGGCGAGCCCAGCCCTGCTGCTCAGGGCCAGCTCGGTGGGTGCAGGAAAGTCCTGGCACAGGGTGGGGCAGCTTGGAGGCACCTCAGTTCAGGCTGCTTAGAGTAAGAGGAGGAAAAAGAAAAAAGGTGTGAATCAAAGCACTGGACACATTATTACAATTTATCATATCCTGGGTTAAACCTTTCACTCTCACCCAGCCACAAGCTCTGCTGATGGCACCAGCCCTGGCCATAGCAGTGCCCAGGTCTCCAGTGCTGGGCTGCAGGAGAGCAGGGCAGGGCATGGCACTGCTGCTGCATCTGCAGCCACAGGCACAGCCTCTTCTCAGCTCCCAAAAACCAATACCCAAACTCCCCTGTAGCTCATCCCTCCTACTGCCAGGCCCACGCTTCCTCCAGTTCCCCTGGGCTGGGATTTCCCCAGCATGGTGCAGCCACCATCAGCTGCCTGTGCTCCTGACCGGGGCAGGTCTGGGGTGAAGGGGCAAAAGGATGAATGGCACGGCAGCTCCTCTCTCCAGCCCAAAGAAAAGCCTCCCCGCAGCAGCAGAAAGGCAGCAGGGCCAAGGCAACTCACTCACTCCCTCAGGCCCTGCAAGAGCTGAAAAGAAAATGAAAGTCAAGGATGCAGTTCAGCCACCTCTTGGGGGTAAAAAAAAAAAAAAAGAGAGAGAGAAAGAAAAAAAAGAAACCTCACTGCTCTTGCAGTAAAACATTGCCTACAAAGAGAATTATTTACTGCACTCATCTGGTGCTCAGCCTGAATACAAATCATTAATTCTGTTTGATATGGGGCGCATGGTGAACCTCCAGCAGGCAGCAAATCTCAGAACAAACAGCTTTGGTTGGCTTTTTCAGTTCTCTGGTGGCCATGCCGAACAAGTGGTGGCCTAAAGCTCATGTAGACTTCAAAACTACCACATTCCTCAACTGACATAGATAAAACATGTTGTGGGTACTGAAAATCCTGGTTGTAAGCCAGTTCTTGTTCAAGCATGTTTGGACTCGGCCACCAAGGCTGGGTGAGCTGCCAGGGCTGTCACACACTCCCAGATCCTGCCTAGCCACCTCTGGGTGATGGTAAAAATCAGAAGGTCACTTTTTAGGCAGCAACCTGCAATTCTCATCTCAAACAAATGACTCAACACACCTCTGCTATAATTATCTTTTTTTTTTCCACTGCAGAATGTCTCCCTGATTCACTAAGCATCTAAATAATGAATTAATGATTCCAAATAAATCAGAGTCATTTTTCCCTATGAATACAGGGAAATCAACCCTTGCAGTTTGATTGCTAGTCTCACAATATTTCCCTCTGAAGCCCTGCTACCCTGGAAACGTGGTTATTTGAGGCTCTGACGCAGGGTCCTGGCTTTGCCTGCTCATGTGGGGCAACAGAGGAATGTTCCACCCCATCCACAGGTAACGTGGAAAGATAAAAATCCCCAAATTGAAAGAAAATTTACTCCTGTCCTCAAGGCACAAGGCAACATCTGCACACAGGCTGGGATGTGCCAGCCACACTCCCGAGCCAGTGATGAGCAGCAGATCACAGCTCATTTCTGTGCAAGCACACGCAGCAGCTGAAGGAAGACTGTCCTGCTGGATGAGTAAACAACATGCATCAGAATTGCTTTTCCAAGCCATTCTCATGATTGATGATTTTTAAATGCATAGAGCTGGGTGAGAGAGGGCTGGATGAGCCCCTTGTTAAAGTGAAACATTTTCAGAAACTGAGCACAGGAATGCAGTGCTCAACTGGAAAAGAAAAAAAATCATCAAGCAGATCAAATGGGTTTTTTACTTTTCCTGGAAATACGTTATTCAGGTTATGTGTTTGCAGGAGCTGTCTTGGCCCTGTGTTCTCATCCTGAGATCAGCACTGCTGTTGCCTGCCAGAGCCAGGGGCAGAGGGGAGCGTCCTCATGCAGGATGTTTGGGCAGAGCTGGCAGCAGCACCTGTACTGTGAGTGAAACCACGGGTCAAGTGAACACCTAAAACACACAGGAGGCACAAGAGAAAAGCTCTGTGATTGTGCTTCCAAAGGGTCCAGGGAACAGGAGATGTGGAGGGCATGGGGCTCCAGCCATTCATGGGCAGTGCCCTGCCCTGCTCCTCTCTTCCCACTGCAGCAGGCACCAGCTCCAAGCTTTCGTTCTCGGGACAGGGAAAGCTTTGCCTTCATTGCTGAGAGCAGCTCATGACCCTTCCCATGATCACAGAAGTCGTCCCAGCCAGCTGCTGTCTCTGCCTCAGTTTCCCCAAAGGCTGATGCTCTGGGGCAAAGGGAACTGCTCCTCTCCTCTCGCTGCCCTTCCACACCTCCATAAAGTTGCTGTGCAAGTGCCACCCCAAGCCCAGGATGCAGGAGCAGCTGAAGTGCACAGAGGCGAAGGGGGCAGGAGGGGGGCAGGATGCCCTGAGGGGTGAACCCCCATGGACCCCCCTGCTGCTGTAACTCCAGCGGCACAGACCCACCAGAGCCTCTGCAAACCGCAGAAAAACCATTTCTTCATTGCACGGAAACACCTTCCACACTTCACCTTTTCGGCGGCACACCCGTGGTGGTGAGATTTTATTGTACAGGCAGGAAATAACACACAATGTTTTCCATCGCTTATCTGCTCCAGCGAGCACTTTCTGAAGTCAACAGACACACAGTACCCTCAGCAGGCCGCTGGCCCCCACCCCATCTTGCGCTTGCCCACCGTGTCCCCGAGCTGCCCTGGTGCGGCAGAGATGCTCGGCCGCTCCCGGGAGGGATGGGCTCGCACTCGGGATGGCTGGGCAGGACTCACCCTCCCTCCTCCTCCTCCTCTCTGGCTGATGAGATACCAGCCTCCTCCCACCCCTGCCCGGCTCAATTCCCGGAAAGCAAGCGGACGCGGTCTTTCCAGAGCCTAGCCTTGCGCCTCAAGCCGTTCCCCCAAGGTCGTTTACCTACGGGAAATGGCTTATCAGGGTAAACCCTCTCCCTGCTGATTGTTTCCCCGTTAACTTCCGCGCCTGCAGATCCCAGGGATGACTTCTGGCCCCGTTTATTGCTCAGCATTGCGATCCGGGCTGCCCTTCCTCGGGGTCTGCTTTGGGGTCGCCTCTTTCAGCTCTTGCCCCAGTCTCACGGGATCTGGGTGTCTCCTGCCTCACAGCCCATCTCACCTCCTCCCTGCACGGTCTGCAGCGCTCGAAGGAGGAACCGGGAAAGGGTTTTGTGCTTGAGGAGGGAGACAGAACTAGCAGCAGGAGCAGCTGTAGGGAGGGGGCAGCCCCTGAGCCCGCTCACTCTGCCCGTGCTGGGGGCAGACAGCCTGGTACATCTCTGCCCGCGGGCACTGCCTGCAGCACCGGCCGTGGCAGCATGAGCCCCACGGAGCACTGCCAGTGTCCTCCTTACCTCTGCTCCCGGTATTCCCGAGCGCTGCAGCCAGGATAAGGGCTGTCAGGAATGGCAGGGAGGGCGGCTCATGGGGGGCAGGCGTCCAGCCCCCGGTGTGGAAAACCGGGAGGTTTCTCCTGACGGCGAGTGGGACAGAACACAAACAGGCTGCAAGCCTTGGCTCCCCTCCTCAGGCATCCCTCTGCCTCCCCTCAGCCTCCTGCCCCCTCCAGGCACCCCCAGCACCCAAACCAGCCGGGGGGCTCCGTGACCCCGCGCCCGGCTCCGAGCGGGCGGGGGGAGGCGCCGGGGGAGGGACGGAAGCCGCTCCGCTGAGGCTCTGTCGGCACATCCTTCGCGTGTCCCGGGGACAGTCCGGCACCCTCAAGTGCCAGGCCGGGCTCAGCAGGAGCGGGGGAGCCGCAGCCCGTGCCGGAGGACGCGCAGCTGCCGAGCGGGGCTGCCTGGGAGCGGGGCTGCCGCCCCGAGCGCCCGATGGCTGCGGACGCTCTCTCCGCCTGGCCCGGCAATGGCACCGTGCCTCGGGCTCCCTGCCCCGTGGATTCCGCCTTCGCCCAGCGCTTCCTGCCCG